ATTTCAATGGTAAGTTCATAATAGCTGCCTGTTTTTAAATAATTAAATATTAAACGCTGCTAAAAAAAAAAATAAATAAGGTTGCATAGTGTTAACAATTAACAGAATTACTCCACACGTATATCGATTGCTCTGCTGTTAACAGAATGTTAAAGTAGCCCATCCCTAATGTCGGTATCAGCTGTTTTGTTGTTTGGATTTTTTTTGGACTGATAAGACGCGACGCAATTAGGTTGTGCAAATAAATGCGAAAAAGAGCTCAACATGAGCGGCAATATACACGGCATCAGTTGGTTTCCCAACTTCCCCGACAAGTTTGTCTCATGGGGCCAGGAAATCAATTTGTACGAAGTGCGCAGCAAGGACGACCTGACAGCCCAGAAGAGCCGCCTGCCCTACATTCCGGTCAACTTTCTATCGAACGAAACGCGCTATCAATACGCCCGATGCGTGGCCAGCTCCTATCACAGTGACCAGCCAATTATCGCCGTTGGCCTGGCCGATGGCAAAATTGGCATTTGCAACTTTCGGGACACTTACGACAGCAGTTGGGAGTACAGTAAGGCAGAATTTGAAAGTCCTTTCATGTGCCATTTGTTATTAATCATCCTTTAAAGCGCCGCGGCAGCAGCGCATGTGCACCTGCCTGGCCTGGAATGAGTTGGACGCAAACATATTGGCCATTGGCCACGACCGACATCGCTCTGACTACTGCATCACCATCTGGGACATTGAGCACGGCGTGCCTAAGGAAACGGCCAATTTCTTTGGCCTGGCCGAGGCAGCCAATTCCCTGTGCTGGGATCACAATCATCGCGTGCTCATAGCGGGCATGAGCCAGAAACTGATTAAGCTATTCGATCTGCGACGTAAGTGAACTGAATAATCCAAGCTGGTCACGCTTTAGCCTAAATGCTTCTCGCATCTTTTAGAGAGCAACGCCACCTGCCAGTCTATACAGACAAAGACAGTGCAGGGCTTGTCCGTGGCGCCCAATGGTAACTATCTGTGCAGCTATGTGGACTCGGTGATTATGCTGTGGGATCTGCGTGCCATTGAGCGACCGCTGCGCCAGATCCATTCGTCGCGGAATCACATGCAGATCGCCTGGTGCCCGACGCGCACGTCTCTGCTGTCCTCGCTGCAGCGCGACTCGCCCTATATAACGCTCTACGACATACGTAGCGTGGACAATGAATCCAGCCGGGAGGTGTACCACGTAAAGCGGCAAATCAGTCCGTTTCCGGCCAAGTATCAGCACAGTGGTAAATTTGCCGCCGTCAATTGGCTGTCCTGGCATCCGCGTGACTTCGAGCGGGCGCTGCTGCTGGCGGATGCGCTCAATATACTAGATTTCCGGCTGCCTGCCAGCTTGCATACGGCGTACAGCAATCGGAGCAAGTTGCCGCTGCTCATGCAACGTCCGCTTTATGCGGCTGCCGCTGTCAACTCGCCCACGGACAGCCAACAGCCGACGACGAGCAGTTGCAGTTCGAATAGTGCTGCCAGCTCGCTCAATGAGTACAGCGTCGGCTCCTCGCTGAGCCTTGACTATCTGCAACGCGAGCTCTTCGAGGAGGATCTGTTGGAGGAAACGCGACAGCGAGCACTTCAGGACTACGGCATTAAGCCGGAGGACAAACGATTTGCTGAACTACATCTGAGCCCGTATTTGCGCAACGTGTGGACCACTCTGAACAATGTCTACAACGAGGAGCGCTTGGCGGGCTTAAAGGCCACGCTGGGCATCAATCTGGGCCACACCTCGGAGGCGTTGATGGCCAGTTCGCGCATTGAGTCGCAGCTGCTGCAGTGGCCCGATGGCATCAACAACTCCAACAAACTCATTTCCTATCGGTAAGTGATGAGTGAAAAAAGTCTGAAAAAAAAAGTCTGAAGTGATCGTTCGCCCCATTTCTGCAGCAGCGAACAGCGGGATCTGGCACTGCAGCTGTGCGGCTGGTCATTTGAGCACGAGCTGGACCGTTTCATAGATGAGCTTTATGCAAACAAGGAGTTCAGTCGGGCGGCAATGATTTGCGTGTTCCATCTGAAGGTACTGACTGCCTGCAATATACTGTCTCGGGCGGCGGACAAGATGCGAGATCCGAGCATGTATCGGATAACGGCGATCGCGTTGTCCAGCTTCAATGCGGATCGCTGCAGCTCGACCTGGCGCAATCAGCGCTCGAGTGCCAACATGCAAATACAGGATCCGCACTTGAGGGCCATTTTCTCGTTCCTAACAATGGAAGCGGACAATTTTGATGCGGTGCTCAGAGAGGAGGGTGTCTCTCTAGCGGATCGTGTAGCCTTCGCGTGCAAATACCTGTCCGAAACAAAGCTGACGGAGTATATCAAGCAGCGCATACAGCGCGCCATCGAGTGCGGCGATCTCAACGGACTGCTGCTCACTGGCGAATCCTTAGATGGCATCAATATACTGCAGGCCTACATGGATGCCAGTTTCGATGTGCAGACTGTGGCGCTGGTGGCCATCAATTACTTTCGCAACGAGCATCAGGCGGACAATCGCATCCAGTACTGGATATCCAGCTATTTGGACTATCTGAACAGCTGGGGTCTGTGGGAGAAGCGGGCCGAGCTGGATATAAAAATAGAGAGCATGCGCGCCTCAGCGAGAAGCTCGCGTACCGTTTACCTATCGTGCAATTTCTGTGGCAAATCTGTGTCCAACGCGCTGCTCGATGAACCGCGTCCAAGAAGCACAAGCACCAGCACAAATCGCTTATCTTCCTGCCCCAGCTGCCGCAAGCCCTTGCCGCGCTGCTCGCTCTGCCTGATGCACATGGGCACCATTATGAATACAAGCGCCAGTGAGAGTAGCTCCACAGAGCTACAGGGCAGTTGGCAAATGAAACCCTTCTCCAAGTGGTTCTCCTGGTGTCAGACGTGTCGCCACGGTGGCCACACTGAGCACATTGTCCAATGGTTCAAGTAAGTTTATCATAATACTTGTTCGCAAACAGTTGTTAATCATTTGCCCCTTGCGCTTGCAGGCAAAATTCGGAGTGCCCTGTGTCCTCCTGCAATTGTCGCTGCTTTGACATGGACGGCATCAAGCCGAATGCTTTGCGTGATATATCCTAGCTGCTGTGCCAGACTTTGAACTGCAACACATACAAACGCCCACGCCATATGGTTCGCCTTAAACTGATAAGTGTTCATTGTACTTAGACCACGGCTGATAAGCCTGTAGCTTTAGTTTCTTATGACCTACAGCTTTTAGCTGCTCAATTGCATTTTTTACTAATCTAGATCGAGAAAAGCAAACACACAAATACATAACGAAGCGAAACAGCCAAAGCAGTTGGCGCCAATTTTCAAATTTAAATAATTCCATGCGTTTGCAACACTCGCATGAAAAACTATTTACGGTTAGTTTATCGATAACCGTACTTTACTCTGCTCGACGAATTGACGTATTTGCTTACTTTACTTTTAAATATCTAATTGTACTGTTTTATTAATGTGCTATTTTGCGCTACATTACCAAAATAAAAAATCCGTTAACGGAAATATGTACACTCAGTTGAAATAGTTAATTTGTAAAAACATATGGTTTTTGTTTTTGTGATAAATGAACTAAATATATGAACAATTATCAGTCGGTTCATTCAGTTCAACAACTAGTTCGATTGAACAAATTCCGAATTCTGATACAATTCTATTTCACACGTTTTTATAAGTAGATCACAGTTGGTGTTAATTAGACATTTATTGTTAAACTATAAACCTTGTGCTTCCAGTTACTATTGTGATACAATCTACACGTTATCCAAATTAATTGTACTGTCGTTTTTTCACAAAGTGATTAAACAAGTCCAAGTAAGAAGTGCAGGCGTGCAACTTGGCGTCAAATCCGAATTATTACAATCAACGCATGCTTTATACGCATACCCTTCCAGAACTTGTACTATTGGTTCTTGTTGGGTTTCGGTTCCATTGATATGTTTGTGTATGTGCGGTAGTTTATCAAATTCACGTTTTGCTGGTTTTAGTTTTAGAATTTGAAATCGTGAGTGCAGCATGCAAATTGAAAATGTTCGCCTAGTCGAAAATACTTAAAAGCTTATACGAATATTAATAATAGACCAGAAAGACCGCTTCATGTTGTCCATATAAAAAATATTAAAAATACCTTGCAGACTTAAATGTCTGAAAATGACGTCGATAATTTGTTGTTGTTTTTTTTAATTCGTTTTATTTTAGCAACACGCAGCGTTCAGCAACAATGCGAACTGCGAAAATTGAAACATTGCCAACAATTTCACTATCACCGCGTGACCCTTGAAATATGTATATGGATTTGAAATAAATGCTATCGGAATAACTCTTATCTAAAATTAATATTTTTATAACTTATCTAATTGCGCATATGTCGCTATGTGCACGACAGCTTAATTGAGGCAACAACAGCATGCATGTTTGACTTTTCCGTTAGCGTCCTTTTATTGAGCACTAAACTTAACTTAAAATGCAAACACTCAACGAAAGGCTTATTATGTCATTTAACTAAATTTAGCTTTTAAACGCACACAGCACACAGACGTACATACATTCGTTACGTTCAAAGCTCTCTGACAAAATGCGCTCTCACTCTCTGTATATTTTTTGTCACACGCTTTTAATTGCTTCTGTCATTCCCCAATCCTTACTTGCTTAAGCCAATTCATATTTATGTTGGCCAGTTGTTGCTCATAAATGAGCCGGCAAAGTAAACAATGAAAAGAACCGACCGCTCGCCTGAAACAGAGCGCGCGATTGAAAGAGGAAGACCGACTGGAAGAGAGCGAGAGAGCGAAAATTGCCAAACAGCTGACGCCATTTAACGTACGGCGTCCGCTGAGGCAAAATTTAAATTATTGCAACAGTTATCTATATTGAGCGACACGAGCCGGACAAGCGACTGCTTTGCGCTTTGCCGATTTGTCGATTTGCATTGTTTGCTCATTACTTTAATTAAAACGAAACGAAACGATTTCCAAGCAATCGAATAAACCGCACGGTTAAACTTAGGAAAACTGTACGACACAAAACTAAACTCAATACTTAAATTCAATATCAAGGTCAGCAACTTGCAAAAGCATTTGTATTGCATTTAAAGTTTTTCTGTTTTGTCATTGACACATGTTAAAAATGAATTAAAAAGCTCGCAGCATATTTTTCCGGTCGACACATAGCTCTCAGTTCAAGTTTTTTAACCCGTCTCAGATAAAGCGCATGAACTGGTTCAATTTGTCGAAGGACAAGTTCAAAAACTCCAAGCGGAACATGATGCAAGACGTAAGGTTGCGATTTATTGTGTTTAAATACGGTACACTGTGAGAATTACGAGCAATGTCAATCGAATTCTTTGATAGACGCTGTATACGTTTTGGTAATTCTTGCAAGACAACTCGTAGCCCTGTAAATACAATGATTTATTTCTGTGAGTTTGGGATTCAGTTGTGTAGCGTAGTGTAAACGTGAACGCAAACGTCACAATTCTATTTGTTTTGCTGCTGTCATTTGTGTATTTGTCTGCCAAAAATTATTAAAAATTTCATTTGTTTTGCAAATTTTCATTAACATCTTGTCGCATTGTTAGTGATAAGAGAATTATATAACAGACAACAGAGGGTCTAAAATGGCACGCTTCATCGAATAAACCAGCGCCTGTGCTTGAGCACTTTGCCGTCGAAGGGGGAGCAGCTCGTTGTCGCGTCTTATTTATTTTTTTTCTTTTTTTTTTTTTGTTATTGATTCACTGAGCCGTAAACATCGTCCCAATCAATCACCAGAGGGGCGGCCCGGCCCGTGTGCATGCAATATTTCGTTAACATTTATGATAAAACTTGGAAAAAGCTTTGCCTTACACTGATCTCTGCTTGTAGTTTGACGTAAGCTGCCATCAAGGGAACCCGCAAAGGAAGAGTAAATCTATAACAAACACACAAACCATCAAACAAATACAGAATGTTGCGTAATACGCCTTTTGCCGGCACGCCCACCTACAAACTGCTACTGGGCTTCGGTCTCTGTTCACTGGGCAGCGCCATGCTCTATGCCTACTTCAAGACGCGCAATGATGACAAGGAGGAGGAGGAGGAGGCGGCGGGCAACAAGCGTAGGACAAATGAAGAAAGGCAACAACAGCGACAGAAGCAACAGCAGAAGGAAATCTGCCTGAAGATTGTTGTGGACAATGACCATGTGCCGTTGATAATTGGACGCGGCGGCGCCAACATTAAACTAATTGAAGAAAAGACTGGGGCAAAGATAAGATTACGGTAAATATTTAATTTTCGTTTTGAAAAGAAAACATAATGAAAGTAATGACGCTTTCTATGTGCAGACTAAACTCTATAGCGTTAGTAATATAAAATATTTAACCACAGCGACAAGGACAACTCGCACAAATTCTGCGACATTAACGGCTTGCCAGATGCGGTCAAGGCGGCGCGTGTGATGCTTATCAAGGAGATTGAGCGTGCGCCCATAGTCAAAATGGAGCTGCAAGTGCCGCAGCGTCTAGCCAACAAGATCAATGGGCGTGGCGGCGAGATAATACAGGACATAAGTCGTGCTTCGTTGGCCAAGCTCAGCGTGGATCCAAATGGACGCAATGGCAAGGCCAAGATCAGCATCGTTGGCAACCAGAAGCAGGTGAACATTGCCCGCAAGCTGCTGGACGATCAGATCGAGGAGGACGAACAGTTGCGTATCGCTGTCGACGAGGTGGAGCAGCATCGCGAGCCGCGACGTTCCCCCAGTTACAGTCTTACCTCTAGCATGTACTCATCACAGACATCGCTCAGCTCCCAGCCGCCGCGAGACAAACTGATGGCCGCCCGCGGCGATGACAAGCCCATGGAGGTGTACGTCTCGGCCGTTGCCTCGCCCACAAAGTTCTGGGTGCAGTTGGTGGGACCGCAGTCCAAGAAGCTGGACGACATGGTCAAGGAAATGACCAGCTACTACAGCAGTGCCGAGAATCGTGCTAAGCATCAGCTTACGACACCATATGTGGGTCAGATTGTGGCCGCCGTATTTAAGTTCGATGAAAAATGGTATCGCGCCGAGATTGTGGACATCATGCCTAATCAGTACAATCCGAATGAGATGGTCATCGATTTGTACTTTGTGGACTATGGTGACAGTGAATATATCTCTCCAGCGGATATTTGCGAGCTGCGCACCGATTTCCTAACACTAAGGTCAGCATATATACCATATACCATATACGATATTATATATGTATTTGAAATTATCTGCCCCTTTAAAAACTTCCAGATTTCAAGCAGTTGAATGTTTCTTGGCAAACGTTAAGTCAACTATTACAGATGAGCCGAATACCTGGCAAAAGGCATCAATATCCAAATTCGAGGAATTTACTGAGGGTATGTTTTTATTGAATTCTGAATTTAAAATCTATAGTAATTTAACTCTCTATTTTAATAAACAGTTGCCCATTGGCGCAAGCTCATCGCTCGTGTTGTAACGTACAAGGAGCGCCCGAAGGTCACAAGTGCTGTCAACGCCGCCACAAGAGATGGCACACCTCTGCCCGGCGTGGAGCTATTCGATCCCACTGAAGGCGGAGAGGTGAACATTGGCGATCTGCTGATAACACAGGGCTTTGCTCTGCCACTGGATGACGCGTATCCAGTGCGTTCGCGCTCCAGTTCGCCGTCTACTCAAAGCGATTCAACCATTGAGGAGCTGGGTGCCGCAAATACGCCACGTACGCCGCTTACCCCCCACTCCCCTATGTCCATGTCAATTACGAATGACGTTGAAAGCGTGGAGGATGCACACTTTGCCGACCAGTTGCACCATTTGGGGCACAAGCTCAATGGCAATGAATTAACAACCCATATCAATCCAGTCAAACTAACTGCAGATGACTTGCAAAATAGAAATGTGCAGACCAACAATAGCTCACACGGTGATGTGAACCGCTAGAATGCATTCTGGCCTCCTAACTCTCAAAGTTAGTCTAAGCTAAGGTCTCGCCTTATATATATATATATATATATATATGTACGTTTTCTTAGTTCATTGGACACAAACTGTGAAAAGGCAGCTGCGTACTTCCTTCTTGACGTGTATATACTATTAAAAAGCGTAGTCTGTAAGTTATTAACATTAAGGTATTGAAGAAATTTCTTTAATTTATCGCCCGCCAATTGGCTGTTCAATTATGGACATATCACGCGTATGAACAAAACACAATATTTTCTAAGCCAATGCAACAGCAAAATACTTTATTTCTTGTTTAGTAGATACGCCATGTTACTTAGTCCGAAACCATACTCTCAGATAATTGGTAAAATAAGATTTTACTCGGCTATTTCATACAATGTACTGGATTTAATAATCTGCCAGTCATGATCTATGGCAGCTTTGTTGGTTCAAGCTATGTAAAAATGATGTACATCAAACCCAAAATACAATTTACAAAAGATTGTTGTTTACTTAAATCTATTGCAGTCTCAAGTGTGTTTAGCATAAACTATATATAATATATATATTAGATAAGAATATCGTTGGTAGTGTTTATAGCGATTGGCGGCAGGTATATGGCTCGTATCTGGCTGCGCAGGCGTGCAATTTCCATGTCGTCACGCTCCATTTCCCGTATAAGCTGCGAGAACTGAACGAGACCCTCACGGTTGCCTGGAAAGCCGTGCACCTTGATCACCTCCAGCTGCAGCTGCATTACCAGAGGGAAAACGTGCTGCATCATAAGAATCATCTCTTTGCCAGCCGACGCTTTTGCTTCCGATAGTTTTTTCGAGTTCTCTGGCTGATTCACAGTACGTATTATGTCCATAAGTATTTGTTTTGCACTCTCATTATTAAAACTGGCCAGGTAAGACATGTCTAACGAGTTATTCTTTTGTTTTGTTTTTTTTAGACCAACTGTGCAAACACAATTTTTCTAGCAACCATACACCCACAATCGCCTTGCTCTTTGACATTCACCTAAAACTGGTCATTCACAATTCGGCGCAACAACAGTGCTGTTAAATACCAAAAGCCAGTCATCAGCTGTTATTCTGTTCACAGTTCGAGTTAAATGCATCTTCAGCAGCAGAAGTGTATACGTTGACCTAAAAAAAACTTTCATAATTAGTATTGATGTTATTGACTTACAAATGCAGTCTCAATTGTGTTGTAAGAAATACACCAACCGTGGCTTATGATTCAGTTCAGCGTGCGCGACGTTGATCAACACTAGACGAAAAATGTCACGTCGGAGAAACAGAAAAGACACAAAAAAAATATTATAAAGCTCATTATGCGCAAGTATTTAAATAGATACAAAATAATATAAAAATATGCAATTGTATATTTAGTGTCTGCTTTTAATTAATTCGAAAAAATTGTCAACGTAAATTGTAGAGTTTTAACAAAGTAGATAAACAACAACGAAGGCGACGTAGATTGTGGTGCATCTCTTAGTGCAAAAAAAAAAACAAGTGGAATAAGTGTGACAAAAGTACAAAAAAAAGTCGGCAGCATTTGCAGAACAATAATAATACAAAGTAACAACACAGACGCACACACGTAAACACACACACACACAGACACAAATACACATCAGCAAAGCGGAGGCAGGTGGCAGCTCAGTCAACAATTGTGCCACACATACAAAAAAAAAAAAAAAAATCACCAAGAATTATAAACACAATGAATCGCAGCGACGGCTTGGTTAGGCGCGCTGTCAAGCCACGCGAGAACGGAGCCGAGGGCGGTGGCGCTGGTGGCTTGAATGCAAACACGCCGGATGACAATCAGGACGCGCTCGACAACAACAAGGATCAGGAGGATAACATTGATGATGGCGACTCAAAGGAGACACGACTTACGCTCATGGAGGAGGTGCTGCTGCTTGGCCTCAAGGATAAAGAGGTGCGTGCTTGCCTGCTAACTGATAAGCGGGCGGGCTTATCAGTTGCATACACATATCTGTTACCAATTATCGTTTGTCTTTAATTAGTATAACTTGTGTGTACATATGTCACACTGCTCTCAGTTTTATCTCTCTGGCACAGCAAAGTTTCAAACCGAAACGCAACATTTTAATAAGTAGCTTCCGTTATTGTTTTCTGTTTTGGCTACTTCGCGCTCTTTCCCTTATTCGCATTCAGTAAAGCTTAACCCTTGTTGCCTGCTTATTGCTTGATGTTGGGTTACTTCAAGGGGCATTGACGTATTAACCATATTACCTATTACCTTTTGTTTTCGTTGCTATTGTGCAATAAACTCTAAAGCTCAAATGCTACGGCTGTTTTCAGTGTGCACAAACGATGGAGAACGAGTTTAGCAGCCGTGCTGCTATCATAAATATGCTTTGCTCTTCTTCGCCGTTGATCTTCTCTCTGCTTACATTGTGGCAAAACGTATTTGTGTTTGTGTCAAGTGTGAAAGTTGTGATTGCCAAGTGGCATAATTGAAATTAAATTCCTGTGTACATCGCAGCTTTTGATTAGCTATTCAATTGCGCAAATGCTTCAAGTAAAGACGATCTCTCGAGCAGACGAAACTCAAATTCCAAGCCCTTGGATGCTGTGCCTATAGTCAAAATTTAAGCAAGTTTTAGCAGGTATTTCACTCATTCCTGATTTGCATAATAACGTAATACTCATAAATTTCACACATGTTTGGTGATGCCTATGGCTCTATATTCCATACGTGCCCGTTTAGGGCATGCGAATAATTCTCATTTTGCGTTCGCCCGTGCAATCGCATATTGTATTTTGTATTGTATTTGCCTTTGTGCCTTTATCTTACTCTATGCGTGTGAGTGAGTGTGTTTTGCTTCCAGACCCCACGACACACCCCACAACACCAGCCCCACCCCCCGCCCTCATCAAGCGATTGCCGCCTTGGTAGTCAAACGTGTCGCTTCGAGTTTTTTTTTGCTCTGATCGTTTTGTTCAACTCTGGAATGGATTCGTTCTTCTGCTGGTTCCACGGCCCTCTTATCAGCACTATTTTTTCACTTAGCTAATTGTTCGAGGAAGTTGTAGCTGCCTTCTGTTTGCCCCCTTTTCTATTCTTATATTTCTGTACTTATCAACAAATAAACTGTTTCAGTTTCTCCCAAAAACGAACAAATGATATGAAGAACGAAGACAAAGTTGTGGCACTCGATCACACCGTGACTCATTCACGTGCGCAATATATGTATATATATATATATATCTATCATATCAAATCGAATTACTTTTTCCAGTTCTGTAGCTCGTTAGCCGCCACTTATAGGCTGCGTAATACATTTCATTTCAGCTTAAACAATTTATTTGTTACAAACTCAACTGTTTAAACATGAAACAGTTGCCATCATCGGCAGCTGAAAGACTCGGGAGTATTTTGGCCACATGACAACGTAGCCTACTTTCTACTCTGGATATGCATTCGACATAAACTTGTTTTATCTTACATTCAATTGATTCCTTATGAAGAACTTATCCTAAATAAAGAACTTATTAGTTTTGTATTTGTTATTGTATTGGTTATTATTATTATTAAAGTTTTCGATTATCTGTCTTGATTTCTGCTTGAGCTTTCCAATTTCTCCAAAGTTCGGGGATAGGAATTTTATTCATTCACATAATTCACATATGTAAAACGTTTTATTTATATACTTTAATCAGGGTTACACATCCTTCTGGAATGATTGCATATCAAGCGGCTTGCGCGGTTGCATTCTCATAGAGCTGGGCCTGCGCGGACGTGTGATGATCGAGAAATCGGGCATGCGACGACGTGGCCTATGTACAAGGTGCCGACTAAGGAGCAGACTAAGGGTATTCCATCATAAGCACAACTAATCTGTCATTGTTGCAGAAAACTGATATTGAAATCGGATCAGCAGACGGGCGATGTTTTGTTGGATGAGGCGCTGAAACACATCAAGGAAACAGATCCGCCCGAGACGGTCCAGAGCTGGATCGAATATCTGAGCGGTGAGTGTTTTGCTTGGCAAGGCCTAAATACAACATTTTTAATAACTAAACTTCGATTGTTGCAGGCGAAACTTGGAATCCATTGAAGTTGCGATATCAACTGAAAAATGTACGCGAGCGTCTGGCCAAGAACCTCGTGGAGAAAGGTGTGCTCACAACGGAAAAGCAAAACTTTCTGCTCTTTGACATGACGACACATCCGCTCAGCGACAATGTGGTCAAGTGTCGTCTGGTCAAGAAAGTAAGTCGGCCTACATGCCAAACACAAGTCCATGCACTCATACTGGTATTCGCATTGCAGATTCAGGATTCGGTACTCTCGAAGTGGGTTAACGATCCACAGCGAATGGACAAGCGAATGCTAGCACTTATCTTTCTGGCGCATGCCAGTGATGTCATCGAGAACGCGTTTGCCCCACTCAACGACGATGACTACGAGGTGGCCATGAAACGAGTGCGCGAGCTACTCGATCTCGACTTTGAAACGGAGGCGGCCAAGCCGAATGCAAATGAAATACTTTGGGCTGTTTTTATGGCGTTTACGAAATAGGGCGGTTGCCTAACTACACACTCCTCCCCAAATCCGGCGACCACAACAGTAAGCTGCACACACACACACACACACACACACACATGCATACCTACCTACCTATACATACCCATTAAAACGTTGGCTACTTGATTTCTTGGCGAAACGGGCGATTGCAACACGCCCGCTATTCGGATTTTCTTCAGGTAACTTTAAAATGACAGTGCGAAGCAAGAGCAGTCTATAGAAGCATCTATATATATATATATATATATATACATGTATATATATATATATATAAATATGTATATGTATATACATATCGCTGTAATAACTGATGGAAAATCATTCGTTTATTTCGTTTTTATTTCATTTCGCAATTAATTTATGTAAACGAAATGCTAGCTAATAGTTGAATTTTATAAACAATTGTATGCCGTATTATTCCATAAATTGTGTTCTGTGTAATTTGAAACTATTTCGGCATGCGAATAAACATTATATCAAAATTTCATCAGAGTCGTCGTTGCTTAAAAATTAGAATAGTAACTAAGTTGTAAGCTGCAAAAAGAAAAAGATAAATTAAAAAACTAAATATTTTGAGCTGCGACAGGTTTTTTGTAATTATATAATATTAACACTAATTGTAAGAGCAAATTCTGATGCAACAACAAACATTTGTTGTGTGTTTACCTATGTTCCAATTCAATTAAAATTTTTAAAAAAATTCATATGTAATCTGTATAAACAATTTACCTAAACACACACACACACATACGCAGAGGGAGAGAGTGGACATCATAGGCAATGTTTAATTAATTGTTACGAGTTTCGGGAACATTAAAAACGAAAACTTTTCTAAACTTACAAAACGAATGAAAAAAAAAAAAACAATCTATAAATTTATGTAAATGTAAAATGTGCACGTCAAATAATAATAATTCTAGATATTTAAAGGCCTAAAATAAAATAAATACCTATATATATTTACCCTTCTATTTATAGGTATCTTTCATTAACTACTTATAACTTAATCTTATCTTAACTGTCTAGAACTTAAGACTCTCAAGCAAATTCCAGCATGAGATGGTAGCCTGATTCCCTGCCTCAAGATTCTGTTCGTGAACCTATTTGACTACATCTATAATCCCAGAACATTTCTCAACCTGAAGCAATTTAATTTATAATTGCGTGTTCCACTCAAAATATTGTAATTATTTCTTGTTCATATAAATTGCGCGTTAAATTTGAATTCTACCCAAAATTGGCATCTCTCAAATGAGGCAACAAAATGGTTAGAACCTAAGTTCTTGATGTCATAGTTTTGATATCCCTCAAAAGTTAAATATTTAAAAAATAAGATACTTTTAAAGTAAAATTTTAATGAGTCTCGGTTACGTTCTTTTTTGGGCAGCTGCTTGGCTTTAGATTTGTTGAAAGTTTAAAAAAGTGAAATTCGCTTACAAAAATAAAAGATAAAATTTGTAACTAATAATTCATGCGTTTACCGATCCACACACATACATATGTTAAAATGATAAAATGAGCTCTGCATAGTTTGGAGATAGTGAAAGTAAAAGTGTTTTCTATGTGATATAGACATATAGACAATGTTCGATAACATTGCTTCGCCTATTTTTCAATTACAAATATTATTCTTTCAAGGCAATTAAAATTCGCTAGAAAACTGATTGCATTTCAAAGCGCGGAATGTGAATTGGGCAAGCCCAATCTTCTTGATCTTCATTTTTCAAATAATTTGACTAACATATTTCGACTTCCGGGTTAAAGTATTGCAATATTGCACTAAAAAAAAAAATTGATAAAAACACAAAAAATTTGTTTTAATAAGAATTTTTATTTCATTTTCAATATATTTTTTGCACAGTTTTTTTTTTTTGAGTTCTAGGGGAAAGGGGTCGCAAATACCAAATAAAATTATAATAATTCTCACACGAAACTTTTATAGGTATTTATAGATAATAATAATCATCTGAATTACGATACACAAATTACATTAAAGACAGAAAACAAAATATTGCATACAAGTTTTAAACACATAAAACATTTTTTGAAATCATTTGTTTCCCTTCTAGAAACATTTGTATATTAATTGTAAATGAATGTGCTGTTACAGGTTAATATATTTGCTTTCTATGCAGTGTTCGCAATCTACATATTTATCGCATCAGGCTTGCTTCACGGTATGGTTTTGTAATTTGGGAGAATTTTTAACGTAGCTGATATTTTTAATTTAATTAAAAATATGAGCGAAACTTGAAAGGAAAATCAAAAGAAAAAAAAAACACAAAACTAATTTGTCTAATTGCAGTTGCTCATTTAACAAATGTTCATAGCGCAGAAATACACACATATATTGAATACTTTAGATTGACAGAAAAGAGAACATGCAAAATGTGGAAAGAGTAATAAAAGTTAATGGAAGATTTGTAACACGCGAAATGAAGTCGCAGATATATGTTTATATATATGTATGTATAATTGAAGTTTTATCTGCTCTTTATGCTATAAATATGTCAACACGCTCATTTAAACCGACGACTGCTCAGTGAGAGGCGACGCATGCGCGCCCGATTCTGCGAATAGCTTCTGGACCAGCGCTCGTCAGTTGCAATGCTGCTGGCAGCCGGCGATTTGTACGTGTTGCCTACGTGCTAACTTAACAGGTCCTTAATCTCCTTGTGCATGTGGCACAGGAAATCCACATAGCTAGCAGAGCCATCTGTGCCGCGATCCTCGATAAGAAAATGTCGAAATACACTCTCCAGCTTATCGTTCTGCCGCACACATGTGACCTGCAATTATCATAGGTAAGTCAATATATTTGTGAAGTATTATTTAAGATGTTCTCTAAACTTACCCGCATGTAGCGAGTGCGTTCCTCCATAATCTGATCGATGATGTCGGTAATGCGTCGTGCCAGCGGCGTATCGGCGGTGATAGCGAAACGTTCGGCATTCACCTGCTGCGTGCATTGGACTCCGAAAACAGACTGCACAAATGTGGACGACAGGGACTGGCCCAGCCAGATGAAGAGATGGACACCGTTCTCCAGTATGTACGCACCGTCTTCGGTGATCTTTTCATGTGTGCAGCGCACTGGCGTTGGTAGCGACGTCTCATCAGGGTCCACATTGTGTATGGGAATAAAGCGTGGATATAAATAGTTGACGGACATATTCAGATCCATGGCCAGCACAAATTGTATGACATAGGAGCGATCATCTAGGGTCATATCAGATCCACCAGAGACGGCATCGTTCTTCAGCAAACACGATGAGTACAATGGCAATAGCTTGAGGCACTCGGGCAGTATCAGCTGGCCAGCTGATGTCGGAGATGTGCAGTGCTTGCGATAGCAGGCCAAAATCTGAGCCGATCGCTGTATGAGATTGTCCTTGACCTGTTTTGGCGAGTGCTCCATCAGCTTAAAGCACGCTTGCTTCGCAAAGAAAAGCATCATGGCGTCCAAGTCGCAGCTCTTGAACACATCTGCTATGGTTACGGTTACGCGCAGTGCCAAATTCAATATGCGCAGACGTCGCTGGCCACTGCACGATGTATACAACAGTGCCACCTGAATATAGACGTTCTCTTCCGGCGGCAGCTTATCATCATGTTTGATCTCAATGCTCACCGACTTGGTTGCATCTGTAAAAAGGTAAAATAGAATATGCGATTAACAATGACAGACTCGCAAGCTTAAAACTTACCAATGCTTGCCAGTTCCACGTCAGTGGTGTTGGTCATGTAGAAGTGGCCAAAGAACTCGGTGGGTCTAATGCCCGCAGAGGTTCGAACGCGCATCACCGCATCAAAGGCAATCGGACGTGATACGTTTTTAATGATGTCCTCAATAAGACGTTTGCCATCGAGTTCCGCTTGAAAGTATGTGTACTTATAAACCTCACCACCCGTCAGACGAGACACTTGGCCAATGGTAGCAATGTCAATGTAGGCGTTATTGAACACAAACAGATCAACGGAACAGCCTTGCTGCACACATTCCTGTCCAAGCTGATTGTACGCAGTCGTTTGCGGTGTCAGAACCGTCTTCTCCTTGTCTGTGCCAAGCAGTTTGCGATCATCACGGTTCTTGAGCTTGCCAGGTGCCTCGGCGATGGGCAGCGTTGAGTTGAATACCAAAAGCTTGCCAGAGGCATTGGATGCTTTCAGGGCTTCTAGACCTGCCTGTATAGCTGGATATAGTATAGTTTCTGTTTCCTTGGTGTCTACAAACATGCGCGGTATTTCCTCCATTAGCGCATCGATTACGGCCGCCGATTCCTCTGGATGGCAAAGGAAACCATCAAGTAGCGGCATAAACATTTCCTGCACATCGCCCACAACCATCATCTGTGGCTGCGCCAAGCTACTCTTGATATTGTAGAAGTGCACAGTGCTGTTGTAGGTTATGAAGCCGACTCGCACCTTCGACTTGTCCTGACCCTGGTCCACAGGCAAATGTTTGAGTATGTGCTTTATTTGAGAGCAAAGCAAATGCACCAAGCCAGATTTGATCGTATTGTAGGAGACGTCTATGATGAAGATAAATGCCGGAACCTCAGGAGCCGTATTGTTCTATAAAATGAAAAGTTATTAAGATAACAGCTGGGAATAAGCGAGTTCGTTAAACTTACGCGACAGTAATCCTTGGTAGCTAGAAACTCGTAAGTACCCAGTAGCAGTTCCGGTCGCTCATGCTTATCCACACGCTGCCCGGTGTGGTCCAAGTGCTGATAATAGTCGGGATGCACTATGGGAAAAATAATTAAAATCAAATTCCATTTTATTACCGGTGTGGCGAATTTTTCCCATCTTTACCTTCCGTTGTGACCTTGCACATGAGACACTGGAAACGTCGACCTGCATCCACAAATTGCATATTGGGCGACATGTAGGCCTTGCAACGATTGCACCGTATGGGACCCATGTCACCAAAATTCACTATTGGCGGCTCCATTTCACCCTGGCCAATGCGCGCCAGCGGTGAAATGTTGAGCGTTAGGGGCAGTGCCGTCGTCTTGAGCAGATCGCCCGTATTGGGTATACAGTAGAGAGAGGAGCGTATAAAGCGCGGCGAGGAGTTGCCTTGATCGTGGACCACAAACTTCGTGGTCACCAGCGGCGGCAATAGGCCAGCCTGATTGGTCACAAATGGACCACCAGCTGCTTGCTGATTTTCAATCATCACCTGTATGGGATTTGGCATTTGATCGGGATCTAGGCGACGCGGCGGTGCTTGTTGGTACATATTGCCAGCGCCCGGCATGGGTGGCTGCTAGAAAGAGCAGAAAATGTTATTGCGGCAATAGCATATGGTCAAGTTATCATTTCCTTTTACTGTTTACAGGTACTTACATTGTAGCCAGGACGACCGGGCCCTGGTTGTCCCGGATAGGTGCCAGGCTGGGGCGGATAGCCGGGCATGGGCTGTTGTGGCTGCTGTCCAGGCTGGGGTGGATAGCCGGGCATTGGCTGAGGAGGATAGCCAGGCATGGACGGCTGTTGCAACTGTTGTCCTGGTTGCGGCGGAAAGCCGACTACTGGAGGCGGAGCTGCGCCAAATTGTTGAGGATGCGGCGGCGCTGGTTGCTGACCTGGTAGCGGGGGCGCGCCTTGGAATGCCGGATTTGGTTGCCCGGCATAGCCGCCTGGATAGTTGCCAGGCGTTGGTATTCCATATGGCCCACCAGCCGCTGCCGGCTGAGGTGGCATGCCAGATTGCGCGAACGTGCCTGGAGCAGCGCTACCGGGTGGCTGCAGCGGTTGACCAGGTCGTCCATAAGCTCCTGGTGCTGACTGAGCTGCTGGTGGTGGCGGCTGCGCAGCGGCGCTGGATGTTGGTGGCAGCTGTTGTCCAGCTGGTTTTGGTGGTGGCATGTGTGGCAAACCCGCCAAATTGGCGCTGTTGAGTGTCATCTGGTTTATGCCGCTGGGCACGCTTTGCGGCATAGGTGCAGGTGCCAATGTAGGCGGAGCAGAAGTAGGCGCCGCTGATGTGGGTGGATACAGCGACGGCGGTGGCGCTGCTGCTCCTCCAGCTGCAGACACTGGAGGTGCCGGAGATGGAGCTGTTGAACCATTTGCATAGGCTGCCGCGTACGCATTGTTGTTATTGTTGAAGCTTAAGCCTGACCCGGCCGGGGGCAATGGTTGCGACGTTGGCGGCGCGTTCGAGTTAAACTGATTGTATGAGCCCGGCGGTGCAGCAGCTCCAACTCCAACCGAGGGCATAGGAAGCGACGGCTGTGCAGGCTTCAGGGGATTACCACTCACACTCAAGCCGCTCATCGACGTGGCCAACTGTGCGTAGGCAGCGACAGAGACAAAAAAGAGAGGGAGATAGAAAGTAGTAGTACGAGTTATTCATAAGTACATGCAATACAGTTCAAATCGATTTAATTATGTGTGGACTCTTATCAGGCAGCTTCCATTGTGAAACGTTTGCTGACCTCTTTACAGCATGAGGTTCAAGCACGATTCAAAAGTAATACTATCATCGACACACAAAGTTGATTACTCTTTGTGGCAGCAACGAAGCGATTCGAAATTGGGATGCTATAACATGTTCTCTGTTTTGCTTAAAAATCAGGCTCAGAAGCTCACCTGCTGGTAGTTGCCATTCACATAGGGCTGCTGAGCGGACGTCACCGCAGCGCCATATTGTTGTTGTTGCTGTGGCTGCTGTTGTTGTTGTTGCTGCCGCTGTGGCTGCTGTTGTTGCTGCTGCTGCTGCTGTGGGTGCTGCTGTTGCGCTGGCGGCGGCGGCAGCTGCTGCTGCTGCTGTTGTTGTGGCCAACCCGTCGGTGGCCGTGTGCCACTAATCGGCGGCGGAGCTGCATATTGTGGTTGGAATTGTGCAGGCGGTGGGCCATACATATTCGGATTCATAGCTTAAAGTGGCCTGCGAGCAGCGTCTCAAAATAAGCACATAAAAATGAAGCAGCAACTTTCACGCACAAAACACAAATTGCAGCTCAAAGTTCGCGTTACCGTTCCCACGAATTCAAACGATTTCAGAACTTGCTGCGTCGAAATTCGGCTTAGATGCGTTGGCTAGCGACTGTTGTGCAATTATTTGCAGCTTTCGCTGGGAATGGATGCACAGGTAACGCAGTTTTTAACACAAATTCCAAGCAAAACGAACTTCCACGTCAGTTCGCTAATTCGATTTTTTTCTGCTGCCTATTAGTTGCATTTGACAGTTTGCCACGTAAAGTTGTCGCCTGTGCGACTTATATCGATAACAGTCAACCGATGAGCAGTGTTGTTGATTTCGATATGTTTTGCGATATTTTTTTAAAATCAAATGCTTCAACTAATAAAAGCACAATCGTATTGAAGAGTCTGTTCATTAAAAGATTAACTGCTACGTATTTTATATATGCACTCATTATGAACCTAACCTTACCCAGGAATTATTTATAAACTGTCATAGATAACGAATATTCATCCGTCACATAAAACGAAGTCAGCTAAAAATCAAACTAGTATCGATAGCCAGTCTCTGAAAATATTGAAGCTCGGCAACATATCATGTGTTAACATTAACAGTGCACTGTTATTGCAACATATTTAATGTGGCCGTTATATTTGAACTCTTCATGTCTCATATGCTCCGAAGTGATCGTAAATGGACATCATTAAACCTTTTTAAAATTTTGAATTTAAATTGCAAAATACTGTAGTCCAGAAGGTATGCAGGTCAGAAACAAATGGTTAATATGACAACGTAAATTGCATCGTTATTTTTATTTAAGCTTGGACAATGGGAATGGAAGGTTCACGTATTGGGCGAAAAGGCTGACGAAGATGTTGATAACTGTGAGAATCGATTCTGTATTTCTTTTTCTCGAAACGTACAGTTGACTGAACGCCCTCGAAAAAGCGAAGCCCAGTATGCCGCTCAATCTCGGCAATGTCACAGAGATAATCCGTCAATTCGGTGCTGCTGCTTGAAGCATTCTGTTTATTGTCTATTATGTAGCCCTCCATATAGGGAGTATATTCCGGCAGCTGTGGGTCAATGATGAGCACCTTGAAATAGTGGGATGGCATGGGGAGCGGAATCCAATCAACAATTTGATATTCTAAAGTCCAATCCTCGGTAGGTCGGCAAGATGGCAAATACATGGGACCTGTATACACATACACCGAGCCGAACTTTTCCGTCATTTGGGATACATGCTGTTCCAGCTTACGCCAAATTTCACGCTTGAAGGCCTTACAAACTCGCGTGCCGCCGCAGCTCAGAACAAATACATCATTGTAGCGGAGATGCAGTGCATCGCCGTCCGCATCGGTGGTTAGCTTCTTATAGTTGCCTTTCAGATGCTCACACATCCATTTCGGAGAATTGGTGCTCAAGTCCTGCGATACAACGTAGTCCTTGTGCACATACAGATTCTCTATGCTAGGTAGACCAAACTTGACCAGATCCAACAAATCTGGCGTACACAACATTGGCCTCTTGTCAAAAAATATATTGCCAATTATATCGAATAGTGAAAAGAACAAACGGTGGCGTATTCTGTCCGTCAGGTTCGGCGACAGATTCCACAGCCTTGCTTCATGATCTGTCCTAAATGTAGACAGCTGAACGCCGAGTGAGGCAGTTGGCAGTAAATGTTCCAGCTTTCATCATATACTTACGAGTGGATACAGCTTTCGGCGATAATGAAACATATAAGGGTCTCTCCTTATCATGCCAAACAGGTGACGAATTGCACTTTCTTGTTGGAAGTAGGCACCGAATACAAACCCCGTCAAACCCGCCAGCGCGTAGAGCGCACATTGTTGGGCGCCGGCCTCTGTGGCCGACATTGTGATGCGTCGCAATTCTTAAAAAAAAACTGTCTATATATGTGTATATATTAATGCCGCCTAGTTACTTTTAATTTTGTATTAATCCTTTTTCAGATTTTCTCTACAAACGAAAGAACAAGTTTTTAAAAAATGACCTACTGTCTGTATATATTGCTAGTTGCCAAAAATAATTATATTTGTAGATCAGCTGTCTACTGGGTAGTAAAGTTCTTTTATTCGAAACTATGACTATGACAGGATCTGCTGGGTGCAAATAATTATATACTAGGATCTCAGCTTAAACCAAGAATGGCACACAACAAGAATTGTTTCTGTACAGAATCAATTCTGTCTTGGCGAATAGACGCATGAGGCAACCTCAAGAATAGGTCTAACCGGAGGTATAAAAAGGATCCTTGTCGTGTAAGGATCGTCAATCTGCATCAATGACCAACGCTTGATAAAGCCCCAACCAATTCTGACCCGTTAGCTCAGACACAAAGACTGAAATTATCCAAAGTTCAACAGTTTATTGTGACACAGTAAATTAGCTTTATTGACAAATGATAGCAAACTTCTGTTACTGGAACTTAATTTATGTTTTTAATCCTCGAGATAGAGCCAGCCAATTATGCAAAATCTCGGAACACTTGCGACTGGCTTGGATAGTTGCTGCCGAATATTGCGCTTCTACGTATGCCCTGAAAGAAATTAAGTCCTGCAAGATGCTCGATCTCCCGTATATCGCAGAGAAACTCGCGGATTGTTAGTTCCTCTGGTATGGGTGTATTTGGAAGCACATAAGCCTCCATATAGGGCTTGCCCAACGGCAGTTTGGACTCCACCATGATCACCTTGAAAAAGTGAGTGGGTACCGCCACCATACTGGAGCCGATCATCTGGTATTGCACACTCCATTTGTCATTGCCCTGTGGTCGGGGCTTGAACAGAGGGCCCGTACACACATATACTGAACCAAAATGTTGGGCTAGTTCCCTCACATAGATCTCCAGTTTGTTCCAGGCACCGCTATTGAAGCCCTGGCCTATCTGCGGCGCTATGTTGGTCAGCAAGAAGGTTTCGTTGCAATCTATTTGCCGGCCATGATGATTTCCAGCAGCTGCCAGATGACCACGATCAAAGCCAGAGTGTCTATAGTCGGCGAGCGTCGATCGAAAAGTCGAGGGCACACTCAGATCTGGCCGATAGGCGGCGCGAGCGCGGATAACGTGCCGCGTACCCTGTAGATTCGACTTCTGCAAGTGCTCGCATACCCAATGTGCCACGCGATTGCGACGATCGTAGGATAGCACAAAGTCGCTATATAGCCGGACATCATCCAGGCCCGGAAAACCGTACTTCATGATACGTTGCACGCGGTGTGTGGGCTCAGTCGCCGAGCTGAAGAAGCAGAACTGAGAAACAGATTTGTAATTGCCTTCAGCTGGAAAGGTGCAGACTGCTGACTTACCACACCGAAGATCTTTGGGCTGATATAGTAGGCATATGGATCCTGCTGCACGAGCTGTTGGAGCAGTCGAGTCGCATGGTTATGTTGAAAGTAAACGCCAGCCACAAAGCATCCAATCGCAGAGGCAAATCCAATTGCCACAACCAGCAGCAAGTGCCAGGGCCGGCTCATAAAAAAGAAACTATAGGAAAAACTAGCTCCAAATTTATTTGATAAGAATATATATTAGAATATTATTACAGAGTCAGCTGTGGTTTTCATGTAAGTTTCAAACTTGGCAATTTCCTATGCGATTTCCAGTGGTTTTTGATATAGATATTTTACAAAACTTTTTGTTGAGTTATTGCAGAGGGTATTATAATTTTGTCGTGAAATGTGTAACGCATAGAAGGAGACATCCCCCGACCCCATAAAGTATATATATTCTTGATCAGCATCAACAGTCGAGTCGTTATAGCCATGTCCGTCTGTCCGTCTGTCTGTTACTATACGAACTAGTCCCTCAGTTTTAAAGCTATCTTAATGAAACTTTGCAGAAGTATCTCTTTTTGTTGCAGCGCATATGTCAAAACCAGCTGGATCGGACCATCATATAACTGCCATAGGAACGATCGGTCGAAAATGAAGTTGTTTAGGTTAAAAAGGTAAAAATCTAAATTTTGACCCAAATCGTCAAAATGGCAAGGGGTTACATCAAGTTTTTTTTTCAAAATCGAGGTTGGTTCGAACATTGAATCTTTTTTGATGATTTTTTGTGAATATCTCGGGTATATATTGTCTGATTTTTAAATGTTATACCTTTTTTGATTCGTACGGATCCCTACTATTAAATGGCATTCGAACAAATTACAAATCGGTCGGTTCAAAAAAGTTGTTGGCCAAAAACCGATTTGTTTGTAAAGTACACCTTTTTGATGATGTTTTTTGAGTATCTCGACCAAATACGACTTTTTTTAATATATACAATATTATTTATTTCAGGTAAATACAGCCACAACTTGACAAAAGGGAGGACAGAAGGAAAAAAGCTGGCAAAGACCGACAAAGCTTACTTTTGGCAACGCCGGAGAATACTCACTAAGATACATAAAATAAAAACGAAATATTCAAATGCTGTAAGAAATATTTTTTTTAAATAACTATATAAATAATAATTAAGCATTGAAAATACGATGTTATGAAACAAAATAAATATATTGAAAAATAAATAAGTTCGGAATTTATTTTTTGAGGAATTTTTTGGGCAGTTGATGTGAGTAATTCGAAAGAGTAATTCGAAAGAGAAAAACGTCTGATTTTCGTTTTTAGAGCGATGGAGATATGTCGTTCAAAACGACATATCTCCCGCGGAGATCATGGGAGATTATGTCGTTCAAAACGACATATCTCCCGCGGAGATCATGGGAGATTATGTCGTTCAAAACGACATATCTCCCGCGGAGATCATGGGAGATTATGTCGTTCAAAACGACATATCTCCCGCGGAGATCATGGGAGATTATGTCGTTCAAAACGACATATCTCCCGCGGAGATCATGGGAGATTATGTCGTTCAAAACGACATATCTCCCGCGGAGATCATGGGAGATTATGTCGTTCAAAACGACATATCTCCCGCGGAGATCATGGGAGATTATGTCGTTTAAAACGACATATCTCCCGCGGAGATCATGGGAGATTATGTCGTTAGAAAAAAACTCTCGGGCTAAACAGTCTGATTTTCGTTTTTAGAGCGGCGGTGATATGTCGTTTCAAAACGATATAATTCCGCGCGGAGATATGACGTTTGAAAACGACATAATCTCGCCATGATCAACGGCGAATCTTTATCGACTCGGAGTTATGTCGTTTTCAATATGATATAATTGCGCCATTGTCCGCATCTCGACAGAATGTCGCTTTAAAACGATATAACTTCGCTGGTCCTAAAACGCCATACTTCCGCAGGAGTACGTTTATATATACGTATATGTATGCTCATATGCATGTATGCATTAGTAGTACGCTCGCAGTTAATATGTTTTCATTTTAAACTGATAATCTGGAGATTCCAAATCGCGTAGTTGAGCCCTCTCAACTACAGCGTTATCGCTTGTTCTCAATTCTTATGCAACTGTTTAATTTAACCAGAGTAAATAAAGACATTTCAAAATTATTTTTCATTATTTATTTCATGTTTTTATTGGCTGTTTGTCATTTACAGGTGTTGGTGTTACATTTTTTTTAAGTGTAAATAAAAACATTACGTATTGCCTCTTCGGAATTAACTATTTTCTTTTTGTTTTATTTTCTAACATTTCAATCTGAAATATTTATTTATCCAAAATATGGAATCATTTTCGAAAAGCCTTAGTTTAAGTATTAGATAATATGAACTAACGAAAATGATGAGAACTGTATGAAACATAAGTTGTGAAATTTTGATGGCTTGCGCAAATTACTTGGATTGGGAACATAATTGATATCGCGTTCAGGCAATGCTAACAGCTGTTTAACTAAGCAACTTTAACAATTATTACAGCTAATTACTTATTTGAGATAGAGAATTTTCGAGTCCCTGAGGAGAAGGCACTTGGGTGTTGACAAAGTTGCGATCGAGACCCTCAAAGAATTTCAATCCCGTCGCATTCTCGATGTCGCGCACATCACAGAGTAGACTGCGTAGCTCGGTGTTATCATGGATGGCCACGTTGGGCACCACATAAGCTTCCGCATAGGGTGTGCTATTGATGTGCTTCGGATCGATGATGATGATCTTAAAGAAATGCGTCGGTATGGCGACAATCGTATTGTCCTCCGGCTGAAATTCCAGGTACCAGTTGTTGCTCTTCATTTCGCGTGGCAGATAAATGGATCCAGTGTACACAAATACAACGCCATGATTTTGGGCCATATCATGCACATAGTGCAGCAGTCGATCCCAGACGCCAGAGTTAAAGCCCCGACTCAAAAATGGTTTTATGTTCGACATGAAAAAAACACGCGCTGCCTCCGACTGCTGATAGATGCTTGGCGGCGTTCCGAATGGCCTACGGCGCACTGAGAGGCTATGATACTCTTGTGCCATGGCATTTGTATAGCTGGATTGGTCGACGCGCTCGCACATCCACTGAATGGCCGAGTTACGGCGATCGAACGAGGTCACAAAGTTGAAGGTCTCATTTAGGTTTATCTCGTTCATGCTCGGGAATCCGTACTTCATAACGGCGCCCATCTTGTGCGAATTGTTGTCCGCGATCTCTTCATAGCATTCGCTGATCGCTCTCACGTTAAAGATATCCAACTGAAATGGATGTACACCTGTGTTCAGCAGGGTGCTATCGTACAAACAGGCAAGTGGGCATCTTACCAGTGCGTAGAGCTTTCGTCGAATGAAATAGGCATGTGGATTTTGCTGTTCCAGTTTCTTAATATTGCGGATCACATGGTGGTGCTGATAGTAGGCACCCAAAGCAAAGAAGGTACCGGCTGTGGCTGCAACAATTGCCAGTTTACCACTCAATGGCATGTCTATGTCCATGTCCACATCTCCACCAGCGAAAATAATTATGAAATTAAAAAAAAAAATAAAACTAAAATTTTCGATATAAATTTAAGACGTTTTAAGTTAGTTTTTATTAGAATTCAAATAGAGAGTTGTAAATCAAAGTTGTGTATGCGTATAATGAATTAAAGAGTATTCAACTGATCGACTCAAATGCTTCTGGCATTTGCCCAAAAACTTGACAGAAGCCTGCAAAGCAGTAGCCTTATGAAACTACAACTGGTTGGAGCCCAATGACTTCTGTGCTAAGTTATTCCAGTCAATGCAATATAAGTTAGGCTAATTTCCTCGATTGGCTTCAAGACTGAGTCTGCTAGATTATTTTGTACGCTATATTGCATTAAGCCCAAGGCTACAATTGTTAAAAAATTGTTTGGTTCAAACTAAAATACTTTAAAGGAAAATCCTACAAGTTGCGAGCTTTTCATTTATCTAAACATATGTGGTAGATGCCAATTTGGGATGGGATATTCAAGAATTTAATTATTGTATTTTTTTAAAGTATATGACAAATCAAGGCTGGAAACTCAACCCACAGAGGTGCATAAAGGTGGTTAAAACGTTATTTTCAAGGCATAGTATTGGGCTTTTTATTTATTTAAGTTTTCACACTGTCAATTCAACAAATATCAGATCTAAATCTAAGAGTAAGTTGCGCTGCAAGAACTGAGCCTGTGTGTGTTAGTATATCGTGCTTTGCGGGTGCATATCTAGAAGAAAGGTTGCTCTATTGTAACAAAAGATAGGCGCCAACTCTTCAGGGGAATATTCTTGGTCGGGTCAGAATAGAACACTCTTACTTGTTTTTTTTTTTTGCTAATCGCAACATTAATTGAGCAACTTATTTGTGAGCAGGCTATTCCCTTGACAATGTGAAAAGTTTTCGTGTCTTTTTCTTTGTACCCAAGCTAGTACACGGTTCTGGTCTGAAATCTACAGCCAACACTTCGACTGTGCACTTGCCAACTGCATTAAGTCAATAAGAAAAGTTGAAGTCATCGTTGGCCCACCGTAACCGGAAAACACAAGGACCCAACGTCTGGCCTACCCCTTCGCCAACAAAGTTTATAATAAGCGCCCAGTGCAATGGCTGACTAAACCAAAAAGCGCCCTTAAGATTTATTCGCACAATCCCGTCGCACTTTGTTATGCTTAAAAATGTTAGTTACGGATTTACAGTTTTCGGTTCAATGCGCAACTTTGGCGTAGAGGCCCGCCGCCCATTGGGCGGCTCGAAAAAAGTTTAAACGCTGACCAAAACTGCAAAAGGACGAAAAGGCGGCCAGCAAAATGGTTAAGAATTGTTTGAAGTGTAAAAGAATTTCTGCAATATTACAATGATCTATTTCATTTTCAAAGACGGCTGCGCTCATTTTAGCGATAAGTAAGCCTTTTGCTCTGAAGACAAAGTAGATATGTGGGAGTGTGTTGCATGTATCTGTATTATTCCTATTATCGTGGATCCCAGGTTATAGGTAGATTTATTGTCCAATCAGCTTAAATTCATTTTTAAAGCTCTATATAAAACGCATGAGAGTTCCCTAGCCGGAAGTGCTGCTTCTATCGGCTGCTTCACATTATGGAAAATGTATTTTAATTTTGGAGGAAATGTTGTAAATTATTTAAAAGGTAAAATATTTACAAACTGTGCAGAAGGCCTTGCAATATGCGAAT